GACTTCTAAAAGTTCTGATTTTGTGCTCCGCGGCTCTATCACTTGCCAGAAGCGGCCGACGGAGGTCCCTTCCCCGCCGTCTATCCTCCCGAATATCGCCTCGGATTCACTTCTCCGCACGTCCTACCTTCCAGAAAGTGGTCGCTTTTCTATTCATAGAGTTGTAGCTATTTTCTTTGATCTCCGGTTGAGTTCACAGGTGTTCAGAATGATTTGATAGCTATCTAGCTGAATTCCTGGGACCAGACGAAATTTAGGTCTCCTACGCCTCCACCATCTTGGACTCTTCCCTCCTGCAAGTTTTTTATCGTGATGAAGTCCCAATAGTTCCTTTTTGCTTTTGTTTCCCTTGCCTTTGGAGACGTGTCTAGCGAGAAGTTGCTGCAGCCGAGGTCAAAGAGGTTGTTGCTTGTGTTCTCTTCTAGGATTTTGATGGATTCCTGTGTCACATTTAGGTCTTTCAACCATTTTGAGTTTATTTTTGTGTATAGTGTAAGAAAATTCTTCTGCATGTGGCTGTCCAATTTGCCCAACCCCATTTGTTGAAGAGACTGTCTTTTTTCCATTGGACATTCTTTCCTGCTTTGTTGAAGACTAATTGACCATAGAGTTGTGGGTTCATTTCTGGATTTCCTATTCTGTTCCATTGATCTATGTGCCTGTTTTTGTGCCGGTACCATACTGTTTTGATCACTATAGATTTGTAATAAAACTTCAAGTCCTCGACCCACTTTTATTATAAAACAATTGTGTGAATCTTAAGCTTATAATAGGCGCAAATTTAGTTTCAATTTATTGAGAAGCTTCACATATACATATAAATTGGTAGAGCCCTCGAAATAACAGGATTTACCAATATGTGGCTTGTTATACTCTAATCAAGATATTTTGTGGTTTGGGTATGGGTAGGCATGAAACATTTGAAAGATATGCCAATTCTGCCAGGAGAGGTATTCAAGTATAAATGGACAGTGACTGTAGAAGATGGGCCAACTAAATCAGATCCTCGGTGCCTGACCCGATATTACTCAAGCTTCATTAATCTGGAGAGAGATCTAGCTTCAGGACTCATTGGCCCTCTCCTCATCTGCTACAAAGAATCTGTAGATCAAAGAGGAAACCAGGTGAGTTCATGTCTTTCAAAGTTCTGGGTTTGATGGACTGATGATGCATATGAACTTTCAGATATTTCCTATACTCTCTCAGTGTACATCCCCCTATAGTCTGCAGAAAATATAATAGTCTGCAGTATTGGCCAATAAAAGAAATGAGCTGGGTTTCTCACAGCTGTTTTTGAATTTAGTTTGGTTTAATAAACTTGCCTGCTGGATAGATAGGAGAGCCTCTCCTATTATATTCCTTTTTTTTTTTAAGATTTTTTTATTTATTTATTTGACAGAAAGAGACAGCGAGAGAGGGAACACAAGCAGGGGGAGTGAGAGAGGGAGAAGCAGGCCTCCCGCTGAGCAGGGAGCCCGATGCGGGGCTCGATCCCAGGACCCTGGGATCATGACCTAAGCTGAAGGCAGACGCTTAACGACTGAGCCACCCAGGCGCCCCTCCTATTATATTCCTATAATACTCATTCCCAGTCTAAAATTTCACTTTCTGGTGGCCACTGCCTGGGTCACTTGGAAGAGGATGTGACTCTTGATCTTGCAGTCATGAGTTCAAGCCTCTCATTGGGTGTAGCAATTACTTATATAAATAAAACTTTAAAAAATTTAAAATTCCACTTTCTGTAAATGATCTTGCTCATTTTTACATGTTGAACCACCACTCATTTTTAGATGACCCATGAATCTGTATCAGAGTCTAGACTTCTCCCCTGGATGTCTCATCATGAGTGACTCAAAGACACCTCAAAATGAACATATCTGCAGCATCTAGCATAGTGCATGGCATGTAGTAGGAATTCAATAAATATTTGTTGAGCAGAATACAGGGAAAGATATAAAATATTTCAGAAATGTTTAGAATTTAGACCACTTATACTGCTTTAAGAAAATAAAGCTAGGGGCGCCTGGGTGGCTCATTCATTAAGCATCTGCCTTCAGCTCAGGTCATGATCCCAGGGTCCTGGAATCGAGCCCCGCATCGGGCTCCCTGCTCGGCAGGAAGCCTGCTTCTCCCTCTCCAGCTCCCCCTGCTTCTGTCTCCTCTCTCGCTGTGTCTCTCGCTGTCAAATAAATAAATAAAATCTTTAAAAAAAAAAGAAAAAGAAAATAAAGCTAAATTCTCTGCATAAGGAAAGCCTAATGCTGGGGTGCCTGGGTGGCTCAGTTGGTTAAGCACCCAATTCTTGAATGTGGTTCAGGTCATGATTTCAGGGTTGTGAGATCAAACCCCACATCAGGCTCTGTGCTCACTGCAGGGTCTGCTTAGGACTCTCTCTCTCCTTCTGCCACTCCCCCTCAAAATAAATAACTAAAATCTTTTTTTAAAAAGAAGAAAGGAAAGCCTAGTGCTTCTCAAAAACTCATTGCTTGCATCAGAATAACTCGTTGCCATATTGCTGAGACTTGACTGGATGTCAGTTTGGTTATTTACTACATAGGATTTTTACTAGTCTGAAAACATTTCCTTGGTTTAGAGAGTAAAGCACGTGAATTTTAAAACACATGACACACAAACCCAAAAAGGCATATATTTGGGCAAGTACCTGTCCTGACAAATTTTTCCTAATTATAGTTTTTTCCACCAGTTTTTTGGAAGAGGACTGAAATGTACCTCTATATTTTCCAATGTCCTCTCCTCAGCATTTTGGTTTCTGTAGTGCTAGGTTATGCAAAATGAAATTTATACATATTAATGAAGTTTACACATTAAATCTTAACAGAATCAATTAGCAAATAACTCATAACTTTGGTTCATATACAAACTGCTCTTCTAAAAAGAACTTTAAACTTTTTTAACAGAAAACTTTAGATATTAGTGTTAGTTAACATTTTATGGCCCATCTTAACTTTGTTATTTGATTTCTGTTTTCTATTTTTAATTTTTTATAGATTGGTAGCTTTATGGAAAGGCAAGCCTTTCCATAAAGCCTTTATGTCTTTCCATAAAGTTTAGGAAAGACATTAATCTTCCTTGACTTGACTAACTTGTTTAAGAAAAACACTGAATAATCACTTGGTCTTTAAAGTTGCCCTGAGGACACATTTGCTCTAAAGTTACACTCACTGCTACTCCCAGGCCCTGGTATATGTGCACATATGTAGACTGCTAATTTTTATGGGACAATACTAATAGCATTTCTTTCTTTATGATCAAAGTGATTATTCACTTATTATTATTATTATTTATTTATTTCAATATGTGTAATTAACAGATGATGTCGGACAAGAGAAATGTCATCCTGTTTTCTGTATTTGATGAGAATCGAAGCTGGTACCTCACAGAGAATATGCAGCGCTTCCTCCCTGATGCAGATGTAGTGCAGCCCCATGATCCAGAGTTTCAAGTCTCTAACATCATGCACAGTAAGTAAAGCAGCACTCAAGTCCAGTGGGTAATGGATAAAGGAAAACTGAAGCCACCAAATTGATGTCCAGATAATGGATTAACTTATATGCCATGTAAGAGTCATATTTCCTTAAAAATTGTTACATGGGGGTGCCTGGATGGCTAGGTCAGCTAAGCATCTGACTTGATTTCAGCTCAGGTCATGATCTCCATGGCATCGGTCCCTGTGTCAGGCTCCATGCTCAGTGGGGAGTTGGCTTGAGATTCTCTCTCCCTCTCCCTCTGCCCATCCCCCTTACACAAGCTCTCTCTCTCTCTCTCTCTAAAATAAATAAATCTTTTAAAAAATTAATATATATGAACATATACAGTTTTATATAAAGGCTTAATTATGATCATATACTGCATATATTTTTTTCTTTTAGAAGGGATTTCAAAGGATAAATCAAATAAGACACAACTTTCGTTTACCCAAATATGCATAATCCATCCTTAATATAAAATGCACTCAGGGTTCCTAGCTGGCTCAGTTGGTAGGGTGTGCAACTCTTGAACTCGGGGTTGTAAGTTTGAGCCCCTTGTTGGGTGTAGAGATTACTTAAAACTAAAATCTTTTCTAAAATGTTCTTAAATTCACTCAATTGGTAAGTTACACATGAAATACAAAGGGAATGCAATTTTACACATGTAAACCAATTGCCAGCTATAGCAATTTAAGTCAAATCAATCAAGACACTGTACATTAAAAAACAACATCTTTTTCCCAGCTTTATTGAGGTAGAATTGACACATAAAAATTATATATATTTAAGGTGTACAAAATGATTTTTTTTGTGTTTACTTGGCTGCCTCCTCCCTTTTATCTCTGTTTCCTTCCATATTACACCTTCCCACTAACCTTTTCATATCCATGTAGCCCATGTTAAAATTTTCTCCATGATTATATAATCATATATATAAACATATAAACACATATAAACACACACAAACAAGTATGTAGTCTTAGTCTGCTAGGCCTGCCATAACAAAGTACCAAAGAATGGGTGGCTTCAATAGCAGAGATTTACTTCCTTACAATTCTGGAGGCTAAAGGTCTGAGATCCAGATTCAGCAGGATTGGTCTCTTCGGGGGCCTCTTTCGTTGGCTTGTAGATAGCCACTTTCTGTGCCCTCACATGGTCTTTCCTCTGTGCATGTACATGTCTGGGTACAAATTTCATATGTTTTTTTTAATTTAAATTCAATTAGCCAACATATAGTACATCATCAGTTTCAGATGTAGTGTTCAACAATTCATTATTTGCATATAACCCTCAGTGCTCCATGCAATACATGCCCTCCTTAATACCCATCACCCAGTTACCCCATCCTCCACCCCCCTCCCTTCTGTAACCCTCAGTTTGTTTCCTAGAGCCAAGACTCTCTCATGGTTTGTCTCCCTCTCTGATTTCTTCCCATTCAGGTTTCCCTCCCTGTCCCTATGGTCCTCCGTGTTATTCCTTATGTTCCACAAATAAGGAATGTTCCCTTATGTTCCCCTATGCTAATTGACTTTCTCTGCTTGACTTATTTCACTTAGCATCATCTCCTCCAGTCCCATCCATGTTGATGTAAAGTTGGGTATTCATCCTTTCTGATGGCTGAGTAATAGTCCATTGTATCTATGGACCACATCTTCTTTATCCATTCATCTGTTGAAGGGCATCTCGGCTCTTTCCACAGTTTGGCTATTGCGGACATTGCTGCTATGAACATTGGGGTGCATATGGCCCTTCTTTTCACTACATCTGTGTCTTTGGGGTAAATACCCAGGACTGCAATTGCTGGGTCATAGGGTAGCTCTATTTTTAAGTTTTTGAGGAACCTCCACACTGTTTTCCAGAGTGACTGCACCAGTTTGCATTCCCACCAACAGTGTAAGAAAAAAAAAAAAGAAATGGAAAATTTTAAACTGAAAGATAAATGAATCATGAGAAAAAACTTCATATTATATATACTATTTTTCCCTAGCGCTGGAGTTTTGCAGTCCTGTGTGCTCCATAAACTTGGTGTCTGCCTGTTGTTCCAGCTGGTCTTCTGGGGGAGGGGCCTGCTGTGCTGATGCTCAGGTGTCTTTGCCTGGGTGGAGTTGCACCACCCCTTGCCGGGGGCTGGCCTCAGTGTAAGCTGCTTCTGGTGGCTCTTTGTGGCTTTTGTTCCCTGAAGGCTTTCTGTGCCTCTTTAGAGGATGAATATTAAAATGGCCACGCCCTGATCTCCAGCCCCAGACCTGAAAGATCACAGTCCCTTCTCTTCAGTAAACCCTCAGGGATAAGCAGTCTTCACTTCTGTGTGTGCCAAACTGCAAACTCCTGCAGTGTGCACCCACAACAATCCTCCCAGGGGAAGGCGGAGGGTAGCAGTGTTTTTGCCCTTTGCAAGGCCTGCACACAGAGAGTGGTTGCCCAGTCATGCCGTGGTTCGTGGTTTATGGCGAACTAAGCTGAGAGCCCCCTCCTGGGCTCACTGACCATAACTGGTTTCCCTGCTCCAACGCTTGGGAATTCTTCAGGCTCAGGCACCCCTGTTCTTTCTGTGACCCCAGGGATCCTGAGACCACACTGTCCCACCTAGGATTCTGCCCTGCTTTGCCACCTGAGCACCTTTCAGGCAGGGAAGTCCCTCACCGGAGCTGACTTCTAAAAGTTCCAATTTTGTAGTCCACTGCTATATCACTTTCTGGTGGCTGGCTGATTGAGGCTCCTTCCCCCCATGGTTTATTTTCTGATATGTTGGTTCAGATTCACTTCTCCATACCTCCTACCTTGCAAAAAGTGGTTGCTTTTCTATTTGTAGAATTGCAGCAATTTTTTCCTTAGATCTCAGTTTGAGCTCCCAGGTGTTCAGAATGATTTGACAGCTATCTAGCTGAATTCAAGGGACTAGATGAAATGAGGTCCCCTATTCTTCTGCCATCTTGCCTCCCCTCCACAAATTTCCTTTTCTTATAAAGACACCAGTCATAGGGGCGCCTGGGTGTCTCAGTGAGTTGAGTGTCCAACTCTTGGTTTCAGCTCAGGTCATGATCTCAGGGTTGTGAGATTGAGCCCTGCATTGGGCTCCATGCTCAGTGGGAAGTGTGCTTGAGTTTCTCTCTTTCCATCTCCCTCTGCATGCCCCTCTCTCTCAAATAAATAAAATAAATCTTTAAAAAAAAAAAGACAGTAGTCATATAAGACCTCATTTTAATGAATGACCTATTTAAAGACCCTGTCTCTAAATACAGTCACATTCTGAGACACAAGGGGTTAGAACTTCAACATATGAATTTGGACAGGAGCACAATTCAACCTATTACAAAAATACATATGTGTATGTGTTCTATACATACACACAAATCAGAATGGTCAAAAATATGATAAAGAATTTCAGTCTCGGGGCACCTGGGTGGCTCAGTCATTAAGCATCAGTCACTCTGTGAGACAACTTGGCAGGTTCTTATAAATTTAAACATATACTTAACATATGATCCAGAAGTACCACTCCTGGGTATTTTCCCTAGAAAAATGAAAACTTATGTTCACACAAAAACCTGCCCATGAAGGTTTACAGAAGCTCTATCCATAAGTGTTAAAACTTGGAAACAGAGAACTTAAGTCTTGACCCAGGGGTACCCCAGAAGCACTCACCCTGTGGTCATGCAGCCCACTCTTGGAGCAGCACCAGGAAGGAAAGCCACACCAGAAGGGGAGAAATGCCTCAAGGATGAAGCTACCAATCAGGAGGAACCAGAGGCTAGAGTCTAAGCCCAGAGTGAAACTGTATGGAGAACCTGTGAGAGCAGCACATACATGTTGCTGAGAGTGAAATCCTCTTCTTCATTTACCACTTCTGAGGTTCACCCCTCTGCACCCAGCTCCAGTGATGAGGAAATAATTGAATTCTTTGTCCAGGAGCTGAGTAAGCAGCGCTCCCCTTGACCACAGGGACCCAGAAGAGCCCGTCTCTCCTTTCTGCACACTGCACTTGGCACCCTGCCTTCCTTGCCCTGACTTGACTTGAAATTGGCTGAAGACTACAGGAGAATGCCTCTTACCCACATCCCCTTGTTCTAGATTCACTTTAAGGCTTAATGCCTTTGAATTTCTGTTTGCTTTGTAAATACATACACATGTATGTATGCATTTGTGTTTTGCAGGATGGGGGAGAAAATTTTTTGGTTTTGATAAAATTGGGTGTGAGGAGATTTTGAATGCTATAGCTCCAAGCTTGTTCCATTTGGGGCCAGCAATTTAAAGTGGGGGGATGTCCCACCAAACTAAGAGAGTCTCCCCCCAAACCAGGGACCTCCTTCCCACTAGTGCCTTCCCCCTTGCTTTCTTTTTCTTTTTAAAGATTTTGTTTATTTGAGAGAGAGAGAAAGAATGAGCAATGGTGAGGGGCGGTGGGGAGAGAGAGAGAGAGAAGCAGACTCCCTACTGAGCAGGAAGCCTGATGCAGGGCTCGATCCCAGGACCCAGAAATCATGATCTGAGCTGAAGGCATATGCTTAACTGGCTGAGCCACCCAGGTGCCCTACCCTCCCCCTTTCTATGAGGAATTAAGATGCTATAACTTTTTGGAAACTCAGTTTGGGGGGGTTTTATTTGGATATGTTTTGGGGTCCATGCCATTTTTATCCCCTGGGGAAAACTTGATGACGAAGAAAGGAAAAAAGGAGGAAACCTGTCCTTTCCCCCCTTCACCTATAGCTTTTTGAAAATGGGCCTCTATAGAACAAATGTGCCAGTTTTTATTAAAAAACAAAATAAAAAACTTGGAAACAATCAGAACATCCCACAGTAAACAAATGATTGAACAGACTGTGGTACATCCATACACTTGAATATTTTTCAGCAATAAAACAGAATGAACTATTGATATACACAACATGAATGAACCTCAAAGGCATTAAGCCGAGTGATAAGATCCAGTCTCAAAAGGTGACATACTGTATTATTTCATTTACAAGGCGTTCTGGTGAAGGCAATGGTTATCAGAGCTTAGAGTGGAGGAGGAGTTTGACTATTTGCAATGAAGAACTCCAGTACAATGGAGTTTTCTATGTTAAGTGAGATGTTCTGTATCCTGACTGTGCTCGTGGTTATACACATTGACATATTGCTGCTGGGGTATGTCTCATATAGCAGTGTTTGTAGTGCCTAAAACAGAAAAACTAAAATCAAAGATGATGCCTATTGTTAGAGGAAGGTTGAATATATTCTGGCACACCCATAATATGAAATATTATGAAGCCATTAAAAAGAATGAATTAGTGGGGCACCTGGGTGGCTCAGTCGGTTAAGGTCTGCCTTCAGCTCAGGTCATGATCTCTGACTCCTGGGATTGAGCCCCACGTCGGGCTCCCCGCACCATGGGGAGCCTGCTTCTTCCTCTCCCTCTGCTTGCTGCTCCACCTGCTTGTGCTCTCTCTTTCTCTCTGACAAATAAATAAATAAATAAAATCTTTTTTTTAAAAAAAAGAATGAATTAGAGCTGTACCCAGCTACTTAAAGCAATTTCTATGAAATATTGTTGAATAATATATTGCAGGTGCAGAAAAAGTGTATATAATATGATCTCATTTTTGTAAAATAAACAATGACCACAAAAGAGAAACCATAGATATGTATGCATATAGGTCTATGTAGAGAATGATATGTTCTAATTGTTCTGAATTGGGGTCTTTCCTCAGTATTTCTAATCATATCTCTAGCACTTTACTCCCACTTTGTTTCAAGAACAAAATTTTGTAAATTATATCAAGAAATACTATGGCAATATAAGTCTTGAGAAGAGGGATTTGATGTTCTCTTTTTTCAAATCCAATCCATTTAGCCCATCTGCAGGGGATTTATGGTAGTATCTTACTTTGTGTTTCCTATTTTTTCTGAATTTTTCTATTTCTCTTTGAGGAGGATTACCCTTTTTTTTTTTTATGTTAAGTTAGTCACCATACATTACATCATGTAGTGTTCCATGATTCATTGTTGGCGTATAACACCCAGTGCTCCATGCAATACATGCCCTCCTTAATACCTATCACCGGGGGGCGCCGGGGTGGCTCAGATGGTTAAGCATCTGCCTTCAGCTCGGGTCATGATCCCGGGGTCCTGGGATCGAGCCCCATATCGGGCTCCTAGCTCAGCGGAGAGCCTGCTTCTCCCTCTCCCTCTGCCTCTCCACCTGCTCATGCTCTCTTTCTCTATATCTCTGTGTCTCAAGTGAATGAATAAAATCTGAAAAAAAAAAAAAAATACCCATCACCAGGGTAACCCATCCCCCCACCCCCCTCCCCTCTAAAACACTGTCTGTTTCTCAGAGTCCATAGTCTCTCATGGTTCATCTCCCCTTCCGATTTCCCCCCCCTTCATTTTTCCCTTCCTACTATCTTTTTTTTTTAACATATAATGTATTATGTGTTTCAGAGGTACAAGTCTGTGATTCATCAGTCTTACACAATTCACAGCGCTCACCATAGCACATACCCTCCCCAATGTCCATCACCCAGGCACCCCGTCCCTCCCACCCCCCACCACTCCAGCAACCCTCAGTTTGTTTCCTGAGATTAAGAGTCTCTTATGGTTTGTCTCCCTCTCTGGTTTCATCTTGTTTCATTTTTTCCTCCCTTCCCCTATGGTCCTCTGTCTTGTTTCTCGAATTGAGGAGGGTTACTCTTGAAATATTGCCATTCACACAAAGTCTGTTACTTGTTTTATTTTGTGTCCAGAATTATTGAAATATAGTTGACACATAACATTGTGTAGGTTTAAGGTGTTGACTTGGTAGTTTTATATATTGCAAAATGATTACTCCCATAGTGTTAGCTGACACTTCCACCATGTCACATCATTACCATCTCTTTTTTTCCAGTGAGAACATTTCAGATCTCTCTTAGCAAGTTTCAAGTATGTAATACAGTATTATTAACTATAATCACCATGCTGTACATTAGATCCCAAGAATTTATTCGTCTTCTCACTAGTAGTTTGTATCCTTTGACCAACATCTGCCCATTTCCCCCATCCTGCCATCCCTGGTAACCAGCCATTCAACTCTGGTTCTGAGTTCAGCTTTTTTAGATTCCACATATAAGTGGAATCGTACAGTATTTGGCTTTCTCTGTCTGACTTATTTCACTGATGATCACATTTCCCTGATGATTAATGTTGAGCACCTTTTCATGTACCTGTTGACCAATTGTATGTCTTCTTCGGAAAAAATTCTATTTAGTTCCTCTGCCCTTTTTAAAAATCAGATTTTGGGGGCGCCTGGGTGGTTCAGATGGTTAAGCATCTGCCTTCGGCTCAGGTCACGATCCCAGGGTCCTGGGATCGAGTCCCGCATCGGGCTCCCTGCTCAGCGGGGAGCCTGCTTCTCCCTCTGCCGCTGCCTCTCTTTATCTCTCTCTGACTCTCATGAATAAATAAAACATTTAAAAAAATAAATAAAAATCAGATTTTGTTTTGTTATTGAGTTGTATGAGTTCTTTATATATTTTGGATATTAACCCCTTATCAGATAAATGATTTGCAGATATTTTCTCCTGTTCCTTAGGTTGCCTTTTCATTGTGTTGATTGTTTCTTTTCCTGTGCAGAAGCTTTTTAGTTTGATATAACCCCACTTATTAATTTTTCCTTTGTTGCTTGTGCTTTTGGTGTCATATCCAAAAGAATCATTGCCAAAACCAATGTCAAGGAGCTTTTTCCCTGTGTTTCTAGGAGTTTTACAGTTTCAGGTCTTACGTTTAAGTCTTTAATCCATTTCAAGTTAATTTTTGTATGTGGTGTAATGTAAGGCTTCAATTTCATTCTTCTCCATGTGGTTATCCAGTTTTCCCAACACCATTTATTGAAGACACTACCCTTTCCTCACTGAGTATTCTTAACATTTTTTAAAGATTTTATTTATTTATTTGAGAGACAGAGAGCACAAGGGGGGGCAGGAGAGGCAGAAGGAGAGGGAGAAGCAGACTCCCCGCTGAGCAGGGAGCCGGGGATGATGACCTGAGCCAAAGGCAGAGGCTTAACCCACTGAGCCACCCAGGCGCCCCCCTCATTGAATATTCTTGACTGCATTGTCAAATATTAGTTGACCATATATTTAAGGATTTATTTCTGGGCTCTCGATTCTGTTCCATTAGTCTTTGTGTCTATTTTTATGCCAGTACCATATTGCTTTAATTACTACAGCTTTGTAGTATAGCTTGAAATCAGGAAATGTGATGCCTCCAGCTTTGTTCTTTCTCAAGACTGCTGTGGCTGTTCAGGGTCTTTTGTGGTTCCATATGAACAGTCATATTTTCCATCAGCATTTACCAATAGCTCATTCTCTTTTGCTACCTGTTTGAAATGCTGTCTTTATCATATATTAAATTCCCATTTATATCTGTGTCTCTTTCTGGATTCTATATTCTGATTGATATATTCATCTATACCTGCATATTACCGCACATTTAATTATAATAGATTTATAGTATCTTATAATGCTTTGTAAGGCAAGAAATTTTGATTCTCAATTAGTTGCACTAAACTAAAGTCTGAGCATTGCTTAGTTGATTTGTGGACCACCACTCTGCAGAATAGATATATGGAAGAGGCTTTCAGAAACAATTCCCTTTATAGACTGAAGTCAAAAAGTTACTTTTGTTTAGCTTTTTATTTAGAAATAACTTCAAACTTACAGAAATTCTGCAAGAATAGGATAGAGAACTCCCATATACCCTTTACCCAGATTCACTAATTTTTAAGAATTTTCTATATTTGCTTTATCATTCTTTTTTCTCTATATACTCACTTTTATTATTTTCTTTTTTATTTTTTTTTTTTTTTTAAGATTTTATTTATTTATTTGACGGAGGGACACAGCGAGAGAGGGAACACAAGCAGGGGGAGTGGGAGAGGGAGAAACAGGCTTCCCGCCGAGCAGGGAGCCCGATGCGGGGCTCGATCCCAGGACCCTGGGATCATGACCTGAGCCGAAGGCAGTCGCTTAACCGACTGAGCCACCCAGGCGCCCACTTATTTTCTTTTTTAAAAAAGATTTTGTTTATTTATTTGACAGAGAGAGACACAGCGAGAGAGGGAACACAAGCAGGGGGAGTGGGAGAGGGAGAAACAGGCTTCCCGCCGAGCAGGGAGCCCGATGCGGGGCTCCATCCCAGGACCCTGGGATCATGACCTGAGCTGAAGGCAGACGCTTAACGACTGAGCCACCCAGGCGCCCCTTATTACTTATTTTCTAATTGAGAACAGGTTGCCCTTTTATCTCTTAGTACTTCATTGTGCATTTCCTATGAATACAGATATTCTCTTATGTAACCAAAGTGGAATTATGAAATTCAGAAAATTTAACATTGATATAATACATTTATCTAATTGGCAGCCAATATTCCGATTGTATAAATCAGTGCCATCTTTTGTAGTATTTCCTCCGTCCAGTTCATGAAGGGTCAAGGTCTGTGATTCTTCTCACTTTGGGTTTGGGACCTAGCTGATCAAGTATTAATAATCTACTTTTTTTGGAAAGTATAATGCTATCTCTTCTTGGGAATAAGGTAATGGACATAACATATAATTATTTCTAATCATATCATGACAATCTCAAATAATAAATCCGGATACTGCTAAAACCTCTTGCTCCCCATTTCTTTTGCAGGCATCAATGGCTATGTTTTTGACAACTTGCAGCTGTCAGTTTGTTTGCATGAGGTGGCATACTGGTACATTCTAAGTGTTGGAGCACAAACTGACTTCCTGTCTGTCTTCTTCTCTGGATATACCTTCAAACATAAAATGGTCTATGAAGACACACTTACCCTATTCCCATTCTCAGGAGAAACTGTCTTCATGTCAATGGAAAACCCAGGTTAGTTATTTATGTTATTCTTTTTTTAAGATTTTATGTATTTATTTGAGAAAGAGAGAGAGCGGTGGGAAGAGGCAGACGGAGAGGGAGAAGGAGTCCTAAGCAGATTCTGCACTGAGCTTGGAGCCCAACGCAGGGCTCAATCTCATGACCCTGAGATCAGGGCCTGAGCTGAAACCAAGAGTCGGACACCCAACCAACTGAGCCACCCAGGCACCCCAGTTATTTATATTACTCTTTTACTAACAGCTGTGATCACTTCACTAGCCATGCATTTGCTCATATGTGGCCAATACTAAATGGTTCAAGTGATCTTAATAATTGCAAGGCATTTTAATGACAATATATCAGGTATTTAACTTTAAAGTCTTTCCTCTAAAAAGTGCCTTACTTACCATTGGCCAAAATTATAAGTGTGTTTATTAAACTATAGTGGTGAATATACATTTATACATGCAATTAACAGGTGAAGCTAAATATGTTTCTGTGTGCTTTGTGAACTGTGTACTCTTATAAATACCCCCTAGAAGCCTTTGGGAATGCATTGTAATCTCTCTTTGTACACATACCCTCAAACCACTGGGAACCCTTCAGGACGAATGTGGCTGGCAGTTTCTCATCTTCTCTCTCCCTCCATAACCACTGCAAGGCTTTTGAAAGCACCAGCCCTGTGATCAGGAGGAACACTGACCTGGCCTAAATCCAACACAGATTGTTGCTTCAATTATACAGTTTAGTAACAAGTGTTAGGCCACTCTGTGCTCCAGTCCCTCCCACCTCTATCATCTGCAGAGGAAAGCACATAAAACTACCTGCAGATTATAGTTATTCTCTTACATGGAAGGCTTTTCTGGAGATAAAACTCTCATAGGAAAATTTCTGGGGAATAAAAGCCAATCTCATCATATATAAACATATGTTCACCTTTATACCCAGAAACTTATCTTACTTCAAGTACTGTACTTTTGTGGGAAGTGAGTAAAGAAGAACCTGACAGAACTCCAATAATGTCTCTGAAAGTATCTTTTATATTTATGTTTATGTCTTTGTTATCTGTTTTATATCTAATTTGCAAACTCTGAGAACAGAGACCTTGTTTATCTTATTCATCACTGTATCTCTAAAGTTTATAGTTCCTGGCCTATAATAAATGCTTAATAAATATTTTCCCATTAATGAATGAATCAAATATGTACGAAAAGATTATGAAACAGTATGTATAATATGGTTGTAATTGTCTAAGCCAAAGAGAGAAAGTGTCTGTATGTGTATGTGTGTGTGTATAAGCAGAGAAAAAAATATTTTAAATATCAATATTTTGAGAAGCTTTTAAATTATTTTGGTGATCACTTAAATTCTAAAGACAAATTAAAACTCTGCTTTATGTGTCTTGAGGAAAAAATTTTAACAGAATATCACTAATTACAAAGCTCAAGCCAAAGCCGCTAGAGATTTCCTGTGTTCAACATGGTAAAGTCTGATCCCTTTTGTTTATTTTATTGAGGTAAAATTCACCATTTTAACCTTTTAAAAGTATACAATTCAGTGGCTTCCAGTACATTCACAGTGTTGTGCAACTATTACTATTATCTAATTCCAAAATATTTTTATCACCCCAAAGAGACCCTTTACCATTAAGCAGTCACTCCCCATCCCCCCTTTCCTAACAAGCACTAATCTACTTTCTGTCTGTAGGAATTTGCCTCTTCTGAGTATTTCATATAAGTAGAATAATACAATATTTGTCCTTTTGTGTCTGGCTTATTTCATTCAGTGTAATGTTTTCAAGATTCATCCATGTTGTAGTGGGTCTCAATACATCTTTTTATCACTACACACCTCACTTTACACTCTCTGCTTTAACCACACATCACCATAAAAAATAAATGATAATTATATGATGTGATAGAGGTAATCGTATTGTAATATATTAATGTATCAATCCGCTCTGAGGGATTTCTTCTCATGGGGAAAGGAAACAGGAGGACTCTAGCAACTCTAATCACCACCTGAAGACCTCCACAGTCTTCACAGATACTGAAGCCAGCTCACAGAGCTGCTCAGAGTTTAAGCTGTATCTTCTCCCCAAGGATATGATGCTGGCCCTGCTCCCTGGGGCCTAGGCCTCCATAGCACCTGCCATCCTCAGGGCCTGAGGCACCACCACAGTACCCCATCATCCCTGCCCCCAAGCACCAAGCCACCAGAGCACCCCACCCACCAGGGCCTAGGCAGTGGGGCATGCCCCAGAGACCTGGACCCCAGCTAGGACATTGCCCTGTGGTGAAAAGGAAACAAGAGGACCCCAGCCAGCCTCCAACAACTCTCACCGCCACTGCTACCAGACACAGCCTTGGCCACCAAGGGCCTCCCCCTCCATTCTTCACTGACATTAACCTCAGCTGACAGAGCTGCATAGAAATGATGCTACCCTTCCTGTAACTGGACCTGCTGAACCCCACCCACAGGTGAAAGTCACTCCCAATCAAGTCAGTCCATACAGATTGGAGGAGGTGATTGCTCCCTCAAATGTGCAGACATCAAACCTGACACAACCAGAAGAACACAGTAACTTTCCAATGACTGACCCCAGAGAAATGGAAATCTACAAATTGCCTGTAAAGAAACACAAACTTATTATTTTAAGGAAGCTCAGCAAGATATAAGAGAACACAAACAGGCAATTCGATAAAATTAGGAAAATAGTACATTAACAAAATAAGAAGTTCAAAAAAGAGAAATCACTTTAAAAATTCTGGAGCTAAAAAGTACAATGAGTGAAATGGGGGGAAAATACATCAGACTTAATCAAACAGAAGAAAGAATCTGTGAACTCAATAACAAGTCTTTTGAAATTATCCAGTCTGAGAAAAAAAAAAAGGAATGAAGAAAGCCTACAGGACTTAAGGGATACCATTAAATTTTTCCCAAGAAGACATACAAATGGCCAATAGGTATATGAAAAGGTGTTCAAATCACTAATCATCAGTAAATGTAAATCAAAACCAAAATGAGATATCACCTCACATCTGTTAGGATGCCTATTATTAAAAAGACAAGAGATAGCAAGTGCTGGTGAAGATATGGAAAAAAAGGAACCCGCGTGCATTGTTGATGGAATGTAAACTGGTGCAGCCACTCTAGAAAACAATATGAGATTCCTCACAAATTAAAAATGGAATGATCCCGGGGCGCCTGAGTGGCTCAGTCGTTAAGCGTCTGCCTTTGGCTCAGGTCATGATCCCAGCGTCCTGGGATCGAGCCCCGCATCAGGCTCCCTGCTCCGCGGGAAGCCTGCTTCTCCCTCTCCAGCTCCCCCTGCTT